TTCCTTCAAACTGGTGAGTACGCAAGCTGTAGATTTGTATTCAGAGGTACCCGGTTTCGAATCTGTCGGCTTAGGGCTATCCTGACCTCTAACTTCAGGCCACCGTCTCCTTACACATTCACTATCCTATTCTGCACTACGTAACATCTGCAGTTCAGTATAGCCAACTCCATAGAACAAGTCCTTCGTCAGCTAGTCAAAGAAATCCTTCGCCTTTTGTGGTGCCTGAAGGTACGTTACAGTGTTCACAAGAACAACCCTGTTGTCCCCGACATGAGCCAGATTAATTTAGACCCTCTCCTCCCACCCTATTTCTTTGAAATCCATTTTAATATTATCCTTGCATCTACGCCTGAGTCATCGAATTGATCTCTGTCCTTTAGTTGCCTAACCAGAAACCTGTATGCACTTCTCATCTCTCCCAACAGTTGAACACTCGTTAAATAACGCGGGTTCTAATCTCGGACTCATTATCGATTATCCTGAGGGGTTCTTCTCAGTCTCTTCAAGCGAATACTAAGATACAATCTTGAAACAGATAACGGCAGCCTGTTTTCTTATCCACGCCCATTTATAATCATCTTTCGCTATAAATTTCTGCGGTTATAAAAGCTTATTTAAATAACTGTTAAATAAACAGTTTTCACGCAAATGTCTTGTAACCGAAAAGAGCTCGGTTTGAAACTTGCCTTGAGGCGAGTTCTGGTATAGTATGAGCAGGCCTACTCCGAAATAGGCACTAACTGTGGCCTTCCAAATACTTACTTGCACGAAACTTCTGGTCCCATTCCATTCGACGCAAAGTAAATTTTGAATCAAACCAAGGATGACTAACAAAAATGCAGTAGGAGCATTTCCTCTATGTTATATGTCGTAGCCACACCACCTTGGTTCTGTCACCAGAACCCCGTTTGTAAAAGAAGCTACTGTCTCAATAAGTTAGAATAAACATTAAGACAGACATGTCCGTAGTTTTCCTCCGTCACCATAAAATCAGCTTAAACTAGGTCACGACATATTTTTCAACAATATCCCCGATTTATGATTGCTCATTCAATGCTCCATTATCTCAGCAGTTACTAGGCCTACTTCTTTGCTACATTTTGCTCAAACAAGTCAATTAGCAGTCGTTAAAAAGAAAATAAGACAAATGTGGACAGCAAAGAAATTGTTTTAATAAGAACGTGTTATGTAGTAAGAATGAAATGGAGAGTGAATTTAATGTAGTGTAATCATAACCGACGAGAATAATGCAATATATTTTCTGTATGTGTTTCTTGCAATTTTGTATAACCTATTTGCCTTCACTAGCAGAGTTATACTTCCTATGACAAATCTGCCGAAGCTGAGACTCAAAAATCGCTTCCCCTTACATTTAATTAAATGTTAACCTTTACAACATTTGTTTAAAATAGGATTTGCACATCTTGATGACATTTATAGCGTACATCATGTAAACAGTTTTGGTGCGGTGAGCATTTTTTATAAAATGTATATATTAAATCGATTTAATTTTCATGTAAATATGGGTTATTTAAGGTTCTGGCGGCAAAGAGTATGAAGATGGCTGTCAGCTGGGTTGATAAGTCATATAGTCTGGTAGATCGACGATGAAGGCAGCAAACACCTGCCAGACTACACGGTGCAACAACCCAGAAGACAGTCATCTTTGGTAGAGGCATAATTTGGACAGGAACACGTCAGAATTATATTTTTTCGACGATTTTTAGGGTAAATTCCAAATACTAATATTCATCCAAATTCTTTCAGTGTTTTCGAATACGAAACAGGAAGATGGAAAAACACGGCCTCCCAATTGGGCAAGCGTGAGGCGCTTCAAGAGATGCGCATATCCCTCTCAAGAATCTTGACAGGTCGAAATGTATAATTTCTTTCTCCTGTTTCAGATGCTGTTGTGCGCTCTGCTGTTTCTGGCTCTAGCCCACGTTAGGGCCGCCAGGGTGTACGTTCTGGACGACGGCACCGAGGACCAAGGTGAGGTCCTATTTCAAGGACTGGAAAACAGATTACTTGTCCGCCTATTTCCAGATTTCATTTTAAATCAGGAGACTTGCTCTTAAAATCAACCCAAATGCAGTGATAATTTGCAGGCCTTGTCTCAGTCAAGTAGTTAGCATTCCTTCTGCGTATTTCAGGAGTCCCGGGTTAAAATTTCGGCCCGGAGACTAGTAGAGTGGCTTATTGTTTTCGTGGTTTGCTCCATGTAAATGCCATAAAAATACCTTAAATCATGAATGGACCTCTTCTATCCACATATTTTCCTATTCATTACTCAGTAATCATTCCATCTTTCGACAAGAAGTAATTCGCCCTGTGAAAGTTGTACACTTAAATTGTAAAACTCTTTAAACTTATTCGCATGCCTTATATTTAAAGACAAACATCTTAACCACGGGCTAGTCTAAAATTCTCCGCCTTTTTTTGGAACCGGAAGATTATGCGTTTGAATACTGTTGAAATCACAAATTAATAGTAATCTTTGACTGTTCAGAGATGACAGAATACGTTTCGATCGGTAATATTATCAAACACTGAATAAATGCAGATCAGTATCGCTTATGTTTTTGCTCGAGACATTCGTGCGTATCACGGGTATATTTTTTTTTTCTGTTTTCCAAAATATTAGACGTTATTTCATCGACTGTTTTCAACGACCTCATTATAATACAGCATAACACAAAAGTGCATTCACCAGAGGTGAAATATTGAAGATTCGAGGGGGGAGGACCATGACCTGCGTTCCTCACGTTTCAAACTGCTTGCAATAAAATTATAAACGAATAAGTAGGAATTTCTCGTAACTATTCACACAGTAACCCAGCTGCTATTTGCAACTTTTGCACAAGTTACACGGCTGTTTCAAATCCGGTCGCCCGGAATTCCGTGCCAGCACTCAAAAACAATTCTGCCACAGCCTTAAGCCAAACATTTACTTTGTGTCGTTATTAAAATTCAGAGCCGAAAAATAAATCCCAAAATTTCTTTCGCGGATCCAGGATCGTATAGTGTACGTCTATTTGATGACTTCTAAGAAAAGATAATTAATGCACGGCCTTGAAGATGACCAAAAATGGAGGTCACACCATCTCGAAAGAAAACTAGGCACAAACAGCAAGAGCGACAGCTGGCAGATGGAGCACAAACAAATGTTTAAGAGAATGAGGCTCTGCTATTATATAGAGTGGGTCACCTCAGACGCGTCGGAGAGAAATGGGAAAGTAGTGAGACGAGTCGTTTAAGTGTCTTTCTGCACTCTGAGTCAACGAGAAAATAATACTATGTAGGGTCAAGCAATTAAAAAATAAAGAGTGGTTCAAGCGGTGTTTCCGCAGCAACTATTTGTATCAGGTTCCATTTATGAACAATACATCACAACAATTTATGAAATTCACACTTATGACATTTTAAATTATTTTCACTGCATGAATCCATAAATTCTGCCTGACTATTAACTAGTCCTTCCCTCACTACCACAAATTAACAAAATATATGTCATTTTTTTTATTAAAAATTCAAGTTTTCTCTACTTAATTAAGCACCATGCCATGCAGATGAACGGTGCAGTTGGTGTATAGCTCCACACATTCCTAGCCTTAGCATTAGATGGAGACAAATTATAAAAATAAAAAATTTCAGATTTCTTAATTCCATGATCACAATTTAACAGGGTCATTCAGAATGTGGTATTTTACTGTTTTAGCTTTTTTCAGGAAGGAATAATAATTTGTGGTGTAGTCGTTTTATTTAAATATTTATAAAAAAAATAGATTTATGTGAAATAATATTATCTTCTGCATTTAAATACAATTTATTAAACACAGAACAGGCCATCAATCATCATTAAGGATGAGCCAATATTTCATGTACAAAGTGAAACATATAACTACACAACATGATGTACATTTCACATAATATATCAACCTGAGTGGACAGATGTATTCCAATTTGGAGTACATATACATTCCATATGCATTCTTTGTGATTCTGCATACCACTTTGGCATTCAAATTCAGTTGCTGCAGACACGAACTCAATGCTGCAACTATCATACTAAACACCATAATGTATATGGCCACAAATAATTTTTGCTCGTTAAATCATACCACTAAATCTTCCAAGTAAAAGTCCTAGGTGCTAACGAAAAGTGATTAAATTTGAGTTGAGCTTCATATAAAGTAACAGTTAGATTGTGACAATATAAATCAAAATTAAATTTGTCCAACAGTACCAAATTCATAAAAATTAATTGAGTAGTTTTCCAGACACTACACAGAAAGCACAATGAAATGATACAGTGTGAAGTCTACATCATTCCATTTGAAATAGGTATGAAATCAATAGTAAATTCTCAGATGCAGTCAAGACTTCCACACCGGCAATCACCTCCAGGGACAGAGTCCCACATGGCACAGTCAGTGATCCTTTGTCCTCAGAAATTACACTTATCTACAATGAACAGCAGCAAAACAAGTTTGGGTACACAAGTCTTCAAAGTAATGTGACAGGAGACAAACTGAACTCAATGAATAAACTGCAGAACATTCACAACTATACACCAGTACATCAAACCACTAACTTACAGAAACCAACGGAACACATTAACATCACCCCAGAAAGAAGTATCAGCAATTATCAGGCAGCCGTTAGCAACAGCGGTCAACATAATGTAAACTACGTGAACTCTGGTTCTTCACTTGGAAACAGAATTGCAAGCAGTAAAAATATTTATGACACAGTGGTAAATTTTAATCAAGCTGACCAGCATGTAAATAACAGTGACACTTCTAAACGGACACAAGTAAAAAACTTCAGTTTTAATGAGCATATGGATCTAGGAGAAACTGAATATAAAATGAAACGCATAACAACCAGCAATAATAAAAATGAAGAAGCCAGAACTGAGATGGAGAACTTTAAACATGGATTAAAATACCCATCAATAACATATGAAGACAATGTTGCAAGTGAAACAGGAAACACATATAATGTTGCAGGTTACATGAACAAAAGACCAACACAAGACAGTGTGGAGATCATTAACAGTGGAAGAGACGTGTTCTTAAACCACAAAGACCACGCATACATGTCAGTACAAGGTGAAGATCACAATGCAAAAGTCAGACTGCAAACCTCATCATATGAATCGCCAAGAGGTTTATACAGGCCCTTTTCCTCACCTAGCAGACCTCCTATCTCTCAATACAAGCACATACCACCAAGACCATTTTATATCCCTGCAGACACGGATTCCCATGATTTGGATACTTCATATTACGGCTTATCATTCAACAGCCCACACAAGTCACCAAGCACATCATACATATCAAAACCCACAGATTCCATTGGATCAGCAAGTATACCTTACAGTTCAGTAGCCAGTGGTCCATTTTGGCCACCCACTGTAACATATGTTTCACCATCCCGAAAACCACCCAGTATATTTCATGGCCCACCACTTAGGAAACCACCCATTGCAGCACATGAATCACCACCATACAAAATGAGCCCATCATTTAGCCTCCCATCCATTGATTTACATCAGTTACCAAGCACAATGTATTACTCACAGCTAAGCCCTTCATATGGATCAGCACCACAAAAGATACCTAAACTCCCATACAACACACAACCCAGTAACCTTCATGGGTTACTTACTTCATCTTACAGCTCAACACCACATGGCTCAAGGCCACCCAGTATATCAGGACCATCCAGACCACCATATAGCTCACCACCCAAAAAGTCACCCATTCCTGCATATCATTTCCCATCTGGTGATTTATATGAGTCGCCAACTTCACCTCATAGCTCATTACCACATTCCTCAAGACCACCCATATCAGAAACCTTACCATCTCATAAGTCACACAGGCCATCAAATGGTTCACCTCAGAAGTCACATGGCCCTTCACAATCTAGTGAGTTGTATGACTCACCGATTTCATCTCATAACCAAAGCCCACACAAATCAGATAGTTCAACAAGGTTGTCACACAGACCATCACATGGCTCACCACTGCAAATATCACTTAGGCCCTTATCTGAGTCACAATCCAGTGAGTTATATGAGCCACCAATTTCACCACACAGCTCAACACATGACTCAAGGCCACCTAGCATATCAGGAAGCACATCATACAGGCCATCCAAACCATTCCATGGTTCAACACCAAAAATATCCCACAGACCTTCATATGGCTCAGAATCTACCAACTCCTACAAGTCGCCATCTTTATCTAAGGGCTCATCAACACATTATTCAAGGCCACCCATATCATCACATGATTCACCAGCAAATAATTTCCATAGGCCTTTATATGACTCAGAATCTACTGACTCCTATGAGTCCCCATCTTCATCTTACAGCTCATCACCACATGGATCAAGGCCACCAAGCTTATCAGAAAATTCACAATCAAACAGGCCATCACATGGTTCATCATCCAGTGATTCACACTGGTCACATACCTCAATTTCTGACACACCCTCTGGTGATTCAACTAGCACTTCCAATGGCTTACCATCTAATTTAATTTATAAAGCACCATCCAGTACATTTCATGGATCTCTGAGTTCTGATGAGGGGGTTCCTGTGGGTGCCACACACACATTTGTGAAGACGGATCATCATGGCAATGTCAAGTGGGGAGTGCATCACAGCATAGACAACAAGTATGCTGACAGTCATCACTAAGTACTGCAGTCATGTAAGTCATTCCTGGAAAACTGCAGCTCCTTTGCCTTCAACTTACAACTTCATCTGTTCCACTCTTACAACTTCTGATATAATCTCTCATGGTTTCATTTTGACTACATTGGATTACTTTATCTTTGAATCATTGATATTTCTTCACATGGCCTTTGAGGATTAATATTCTTTCACTGTTAACATAGTATTTCTTCACATTGCCTTTGAGGGATTAATATTCTTTCACTGTTAACATATGTTCTGTCAGTCTTCAGCATGTTTTCATTTTGTCTGATTTTGACTACAATGGAATGCTTTATCTCTGACTCATTGGTGTTTCTCTGTCTGTTTCTAGAGTTTGTCAGTCTTCAGTCTGCATGAGGGGTATCAAAAATGTGTACAAAATTTTGTTTGAAAAGAACCCTGAAAGGAAAATACTGCTCAGAAGACCTGGTCATAGATGGGAGAATAAGATTAAAATTAATCTTAGGGAATTTGGGTTTGGAGGTGTAGATTGGATTCATATTGCTCAGATTGTTCAGGAAAGGGACCAGTGGCAAGTTTGTGTTCACATGGTAATGGACCTTTTGATTCCATAAACAGATGGGAATTTCTTAACTAGCAAAGTGTAAAGAACCAATTATTTTTTCAATAAGAAAGAATGATATCATGGTGGGAAGTTCAGTCAAGCATCAAAGCTGCAAACAATGTAAACTTAAACATAAACCTAATATAACCTACATATTTAATCGTGATTCACTTTCATATTTGACTAATACAGTATAAATTTTACATACATGCCCTCTAATGCATTACTTAACATGCTCAAACTTATACTTTTTCAGTGACATGGAAAAAACTTGTAATATCATTAATCAATTAATATAAAATTTCACAAAAATAAAAACTAAATAAATAAACATAGAACTTGATGGGTTTACTCACTGACTAATTTGCAAGTATCAACAATTAATACAATAATTAAAGTCAAAACCTACAAATAAAAGAGTTATGTACTTACATGAGATTCTCTTTCACATTTCCCCAACTAAAAGATTTCAGAGAATTCTTCCAGCTCTTTACTATTTGATATTTGGCACACCCTCAAACAAAATTCCTCAAACTTTCTGCTCATAGATCACACTTTTGGCTACCTACAGCAAAGTATAACTTACAGTAATATTAATATTAACTAAGAGCTGGGGTAGCTCAGTCATTATGGAGACTGGCAACGGACTTGACGACAGGGGTTCGATCCCGCGGGGGCCAAAAAGAAAAAAAATCAGCTTCAGCATCTACACCCACTCTGGGGCCCACCCATCCTCCTATCCAGTGGGTAACGGGATCTTTTCCCGGGGGTAAAACGTGGCCGGAGCGTGACCACTCATCGCCATCTAGTTCCTAGATCAAGAATGACTAGAGCTATATTACTCTCCCTCCAAACGCCTACATGGCGTGTAGTGGGACAACTTTACTTTACTTACTATTAACTAACCTCCAGTATTGGTGACATTTTCTCCACGTCATTTGTTATGATTATACCACACATGGCACAACAGGTAATGATAAGACTGCTTTTAAGTTAGAAGAGACTCTAAACTTGAATGTACACCATTTTAATTTTACGTACGTTCTTGCAGTATAGCCAAGCTTATCTTGGAAAATTTCACAGACAGAGGGAATTGGTGTAACTGCGTGTTAAAATAGGGGTAAAAATAAAGTGTATTTAGCTGACAACAACAGAGTATTAGAAATTATTTTAATTTAAACTTTTATTATGTCAGTGATTATTTGTATTAAAACTTAGATTGATCTGGTCAGATAAATGTAGTCTAAGTTAGGTTAGGTTGCCATTTGCACATTTAACTGGATATCCCATTGTGTGTCTTGTAACACGTTTACTTGTGCCTATGCAAGCACTTCTGTTTAGGTAGGTTAGCTTTATTCTTCTGAATAAACTTCTTCAATTTTTCCACAGAATTATTCAGAACTATTTGAGAGATGAACAGTTTCTAAGAGTTGTACAGAATTGCCTGACCAGAGTACAGATGTAATATTTAATTTACAAAGTGTTGGGCAACCCTGACTCCAGCTAAGAAAATGTTATGTGCTTTAGCACAGAGGTTTTTTTCATTTATTTGTAATGTTTTATAATGATGTTGTTTTTCTTGTGTAGCCAACACTTTAAAACTTTCATAAAGAATCAGAACACTGTAGTTGTTTCCACAGTTCAGGAAGTTTCTCTCCCTCAGCCTTTTCTAGTAGAGAAGTGATAGTAATGTTAGGATAAGCTGAGTTCGAAGATTATAGTCACACTGGCTGTTATGTTTTATAGTTGCCCTGTGGTGTCTCTTTGAGTTTCAAACATAAAATCTCTTCAGTCTGAATGGCAGTATGCTTCACATCATAACCTATGATTCAGAGTTGGAGAATGGAGCAGCAAGCCACCCAGTATAACATTATTTTACTCCCAGATGTATGTATGATTCCCTGCGCTTAACACTTCAGGATATTAATTTTCATTAGCTGTATAAGTATGAGGATACATGGAAAATTTCTCAACGCAGATACTCTGGGTGCTACATGAACTGCATTTGAACACTTGCTTCCATGATATTAAAATGCATAAATAACTGTCAGAAAGGATTTTTTCTTTGTAACTGTGGTGTTAGAATTGTGTATACTATGCTGTAACCAGTTGGTATCTCTATCACTGCAGTTGGGCTGGCAGATGAGGTCAATGAGGCACGAGTAAGGCGTGATGGAGGTGGTGGCGGCCATGGTGTTACTGGACCTGTGCATACTTTTGTGAAGACAGACAAGCATGCACACTTCAAATGGGGTGTGCGCCATCATGTTGGTCACCACTATGCTGGCTAGGGGAGCATAATAGGCTAGATACCAAAGGACGCAGATAATATTCAACAGTGTTTAAAATTTTAGGAACACTTTCTGCTTATTTTAAATTCCAGAGTTGATGAATGTTCAACATAATGTGGAATTTACTAAATTACCAGCATGATTACATCCTTCAGTAATTTATAACAGTGTGAAGTAAAATTTCCCTAATAGAACTTCATGAGAAATTGCATGTTTTCTACTTTCAGACTATAACTCATTTCTTCTGTAATAAAGTGCCTGTCACTTTAAATGTTACTCAATATGGAGGACTTTCTTGCATGATACTTTTTAATTTTATTTATATACATTATTAAATTTGTTATATTGTTGTTATTTTTACACTTGAACTTTCATAATAAATTATAATTCAAAGATGTTTTAACATTGCTAGATATAATTGCTATCCCAAAAAATCTTTTGTCTGTATACCTGCAGCAGCAATGAAGACATCTTGATGGAAACATTAAAATGTGACCACTGACATGGTATGACCAACTGTAATTATACCTCTCCACTACACATTATATTCATATCACATGACTCAGTCAGTCAAGAGGACCTTGTTTAAAAAATTGGGCTATATCATTCAAAGGTGAGAATGTAATAAAAGTAGATGAGTTAAGTATGATAACCTCTTAAAAAATTATGTGTCTAATATTCTGATTCCTCTAATTTGGAGCCTCTCAGACAAATTTTAGTACAGAGAATGAGGAATTAATCTTTGTGTGACTCACTTTCATTGATTACTGTAAATTGTTAGGCTAATTTCTGACTGCATTTAGTTGTAATGTAACGTATTAATCATAGCAAAAAATAAATTAAACTACACAAGCATAACAATGTGAACTGATGTCAAAAAAATTATCTCTTATTCTTACAATGTCTCTATCTCTTTATTTACCATAAATGCAATTTTCCATCACCATCATGAATAGTATTTATAAAGTTTAATTACATCTTTGATAAATTTTATTTCACATTTCATATTACTTCACTGTTGCCATCCATTATTATAATTATTTCAATGGTTTGATAAACTGCCTCTATCACATTACAAAATCTGGTATATTTTTGTTTTTGTACGTGGTTTATTTAATAATGCTGTCAGTAGCTAAGGCTATGTAGCATAAAATAATATTATACATACTGAATAAAGAATTTGAAAGGATATGGGAGGAAGTGGTAATGGCCTAATTTAAGGTGCTGTCCTGGAATTTGCCTAGACAGACTGAGGAAATCTACAAAAGCCTCAGTCAGGATAGTCAGTCTTTGAGCTGAGGCTTGAACCTGGGATCTTCCAAATACAAGGCAAATGTGACATATTAGATAAATATCCACACACTTGCTCTAAGGCCAAGAAGAGAGAGAGACAATATTAGACAGAAATTAAGACAGATATATTAGTAAAGAGTGATATTAATTATGATATATCATTGTCATACAATTATACATTTTATTTTGAATTTCCACTGTCATAGTTTATTAACAGTGATAAGAAGAAATAGATGTGACAAAAAATTTCTCATACTCCACTCAAACATACAACATAATTGATAAATGTTTCAGTCAATCAAGAAAGAAATGGTAACAGTATGACTGCTACCCATCTTCCAAGGACTGTAGGAATAAATTTCTAATCCAGAATAGTGGTTAAAACCCATGTGCTCTTCTACTTATCCCAGCTTTTATTCGGTTGTAGCTTAAAATTTCTAGTTTCCTTCTTCGTATGGATATAACAGAGGAAGGAGAGGACGATGTTATCATTACTTTTTAAAAATTAAGTACTAGTACACACATGGGTTGTTTAGGGTGATTACTGCAGTACTTTAAAAGATTCTGACAAAAGCTAACCAAAAAAGTTTCTCTTTATTTAAATTTCAGTTATTTCATGAATATTAGTAACATACAATTTTTTCATACTTCGTGTTTATGTTTCATGAAAAAAGGTTTTGTACTCTTGCATGCAGCCAGCAGAAAAGCCTAGATATTTCATTTTATTTTATATCTAAAACTGCTTAGATTAAATTTAATTGACATTTTGTCAGTAAAGTTTAAAACTGATTACTAGGTATTATCAAGGGTTACTTATTTCTAAATCAAAATTGAAGTTTAGGATTAGCATAACTGAAGCAATGTTTCCAGTAGCACAGCACAACAGTTCCTCTTTCAGTCTGCATTACTGCCCATAGCTCATGAGGCCCTTCTCACACTTCACTCTTGATACGCCTGATACACCACAGAGGCACCTGGCTGTTGTGCCAAGTACTCAATCGCTCCTGCCTTTACAGCCTTTGGTCTTGGCACTTCAGGTTGTGGTGTATATTGAACGTGTGGCTGCACTCCCTGGTACTGCACTGGTTGAGGCGCAGCTGCTGCTGCTGGTACGGGTTGTGGCTGTGGAACTGCAGTAAACTGCTGCCTCGCCAGTGTTCGCAGTTGTGCCAACTGTTCTGGTGTCGGTTGTGAAGCCACACTATTGTATACTTGGGCAAATGGTTGACGAGAAGGAACTGGTTGCTGCATAGAAAGAAACTAATTTTATCAGATGTACCTTCCGAATATACCAAACAGATCTGCCATGATTGATTCTGATGCTATTAATTTGGTGCCAGCTTGAAACTAAAATGTTTCCGCAATTTTTCAGGAAAATACTTACTGTGTCTTAGTAAAAGGAAGTGGACTTACAGCAATATATTGATGTGGCTGCTGCACCTGCTCTTGTGCTGGAGTCGGGGTCGGGATCTTCACTACGATGTTTGTCGGCTCACGGGTCACCTGAGCTTTGAAGCCCTGCAATAATTTACAAAACATAAAGCATGTGTGATTCACATAGATTCCCAATTTAACTTACTGGACCAATGACTGAGATTAGCTCTTTCAATCTGACTCATCAGATTAGATTTTCCAGTGTCTGAAGATGGAAACAATCAGTTTCTGCAACATTTTATTTTAAGACAAACTAAAATGTTGGATAAGGTCCAAGAAATTTAAACTTATTATGTACGCTTTAATCAAAACACATTCAGATAGAAACTTTGAAGTTATCAGTAAGTATACAGGAACAGAATAGTAGTTGCATTTAACCGTTGAGAGATTTGCTACACTGATTTTCTCAAACAAGAAATAAAATCCAGATCAGAAGAACTCCCAAGTGAGATAATTCACATGTAGCATGAAAAGTGTTAAATTTAAAGAGGGCCGTAAGGAACACAGTGAATCATACAAACCTCTTCGGGATTTGCTGTATACTTGACAGTGCGAATAAACCCATCAGAGTCAACAACACTGTAGCTGCCAGAAATCTTTCCTCCCTCTCGCTGCTCTTTCCTGTTCTGGTAGTTTGTAAACTCATCGTCCTTCACATCAAATGCAAATTGGTAGTGAGGATTAGGCTGCAACAAACATACAAAGTCATCATAATAGTGATCCCTTGATGTTTCTACTAGGCACAGCCTTGTCTACGTTCTCTTTGCTCGTTTTGCGACTGTTTACCTCTTGGCCGCCTCTATTCTACCTTCCCTCACTGAATTGTCAAAATTAGACGTCACGCCAGTAATTCCTCTTCATATTTTGCCCTATCAAAGAAATTCGATTGTCATCCGTATATGACACAGGTCATGACGCCACCCGAATTTAATTCAGAGCGTTCTGTTCACACTGACATCTCTTGACGGCATAGAGAGTCTCGAGCTGTTATGGTGGTTCAGGTTGTCGTTGTTTATTTGTGGTTAAGAAAAATCTCGTTGTAGGCCCGTCTCTTCTAAGTTTTAAAATTAACAGATTGCACGTTAAGCTTAATTTTGTGTTCTTATATCTTAAAACAAGCGATAACATTTGAAAGTATAAATATGTATGTCTATTATTCTGAATCTGAAGTCTTGTAACGTATGGGATCTGGCGGGAATAAATAATGCGTAATGTTAACCACGTCTGGGGTAATGGCACTTTATGGATGCGCCATTGCCCCAGTACTGAGCATTGTGAGGATAAACATGCTGTCTACCTCTTCAGGGATAAAGATGGAGACAGTGTGATCTATTCAGATCGGAATTAAGTTGAAAAATGACTCGTTGGAATGAAAGGTATTTGGCCCAAGGCGTACGTCTACACAGGTTAGCTTAGATGTGTTATATACATGCTCCTAGTGGGATTCGATCGCTACGTATCACTATTCGTATTTATTTGCCTGCATTCCACCGGGCACTGCATAATATTTCCGTATAAAGTCTCTACTTTTGTTTCTTATTAGCTACATTTCCGTTCATTATATCGCCAATGGCGTAGCATTCATTATACGCGGGTGATCAAACCAGTAATGGGCGTAAAACGAAAGGAGGGGGGGGTTGTGTTTCCCTTTCTCCTCTCCCCACTTGATCTGAATAGAGAAAGTAATTTCACTCTCAACTACTTTCTACGCTTCCTACTTCTTGCATGTGACAGGTACTCTTATTTCGCTGCAAATATGTAACAGTTGTGGGACGGACAGACAAGTGGCCATGGCGTCTAACAGGGGTGAGCAAACACGTCGCAACTCTCGTCAAGTAAACCAAGGAAGAATATGCATCGTGTAGCATCGCACATTCATTTGTAAGAGTTTAATGGTGTCGTATGATTCGTAGTTACTTACATCGAAATGTGTTAAACTGGATGTTAGAGAAAGTTTTTATGTGTATTGGAATTAGATTCAACTGGTCACAGCATTTCATTATCGTCATACCATTCGACGACAAACAATGCAGCTGAAAGTTCCGTTTAATAAATAAACGGTATCAGTAGTGCAAAAACCCTGGAAATGGCAGCGCTGGGATCATTAACCCGGAAAATGAGGTTTCAAACCAATGCTGTTGAGTCCCCATACATGATATTTAAGAAAGTTGCCCTGGAAAGAGGTGGAAATAGCAAATGATACGTTTGAACGAACAGAACACAGACTAGCCAATCAGCTGCCACCCCGAGGGGTCTGCTAATTCGCAATCTGACAGGTTTTGCCTATGTTCAATCAAATAACATCGGCAGATCAGTATTCCTATACAGCGCTAAAATTTGAGGTGTGATGATACTTAGGGCAAATTAAGCTGTTAATATTTGCACTGATACAAACTCATACAAAGCCAGAGAGGAAGAAACCAAATGTTTTTAGACTGGAGAGCTGTAAACCTGCCTTACAGAAGATTCAAATGCGATTCCTATTTGCGGGGTATTTATGTAAGGCTTAGAGAAAATAATTCATATCAAAATATAAAAGATATTAATGGCATTTCCTCCACACTTTATGCGACGATTAAACATTTACGTACTTCCAATCCCTTGTGTATTCTTCATTCATGGGTACCTTCCCATGTTAATGAACGTTACATAACCACTGCAGTTGAAATATCGTCGTTAAATAACCACAACGGACTTTCACGCGAATAAAATAAAATTTCATAGATAATGAGTACCAGGAAGCAACCGACAGCATAGCGCAACATTTTCAAAGCCTTTTCTTCTTACGCAAGCTCGAGATCCAACCCTTCTGACACGACCGCGTGGTAACCTACACGATGACGGAAAACGCACGCTACATTCACTACATCATGACTTGACTCCAGCGTCCTCCTTGAAAACGTTGATAGCTACTCAGGTGGACGAGAAATGTTGCTGCTTTCATAGAAATCGTGAACGTTCTCAAAAGGCGTGTAATGAAGAACCTTGTGGCTAATCACGCTGCAGATACCTCACTACACAGACTCAAAATATAATTCCTTGTGTCTGGTTAAATATAGACTTACAGGCCTGCGTTACGACGAAAAATATTTGGAATAAAACTTCACTAAACAGACTCAAATTATAATTCCTTGTGTCTGGTTAAATATAGACTTACGACGAAAAATATTTGGAATAAAACTTACAGGCGACGGTCTTCTGGGCTTGTGCGACGTGTAGCGTACTACCCGGGCGCAAAAAGTCAGAACACAACCATTTCCATTCACACCGCCTTGAATACTTAAAAATCCAGAAAAAAAAATTAAATCATAACATGATCTACAAACCGCTTTTGAGAAATGTTATCATTTAGTTCGACAAACCCCTCTCCAATCCTAACTGCACACGCTTTCTAAATACGCTCACTTATTTCATCCTGTGCTATTTCGGTCTTCTAGGCTGAGGAAATGACGGGGGAAAAACGGCGGAAGTTAATAATGAACTAGAATGATCCGCAGTTACTTGTTGGGACATTCTGAATATGTAAACGCTACTCACGTCATAGTCCTCAGCTTCCTGGATGACCTGTTCCCCCGGCTGTTGAGTGGGGACGGGACGTGCCTTGAGTCGAGGCACCGAGTAGACCTGAGGCTGAGACTGAGGCTGAGGCTGAGGCTGCACTTGCTGTTGGTAGATTAGGGATTGAGTCTGGGGCTGCTGTTGGTACAGCGCGGCACCGACCTGAGGCTGCGCTTGCTGAAGCAACACCCTGTATTGTTGGGGTGACACCGTCTGCTGGCCATGCTGTGGGCTCGGCTGCACATAGGTCACGGGATACGACGCAACGACCACCACAGTCACAAGCACTCCTGCCAAAACCTGTTGCACCCACAGACCACAGTGCGGCATCTAAAGCAATGTGCATCATCTTATCTGACCCCGTCACAGACACGTGCAAAGTAATAAACACTGACGACCTCCACTGTCTCCTGTCCTGTCATTACATCGTACCCATAATGTGAGTAGCGGGTTAATAAACAAAGTGTATTAAATAAAAGCAATATTGGGAGATCGTCCATCCGTTCACATGTTACATCTCCGAAAATACCTGCCGGATTTAGATAAAATTTTGGTATTTTGAAACTGCACTGAAATTTCTTAGGGGATCTTGAAGTCTCGTTGTTATCAGTGCAATGTAATTGCCACTTCACATGAGCGTAAATCAAATATAACGGCTCGTCGTACAAGAAATTTTTGAGTCACATGTCACAAAACGCATACAATGCTCAAGTTGAACGTGTTTCGAAATCGTAAATATGTAACGAAATACAAGGGGAAATATTTTTACTCTTAATTGCATCAACTGCTATATTGGCTATTTGGAGTAAATGAAAATCAAGGCCGATTATGTCTGACAAATTACAAAAAAGCGTATTTAATAAACACGTGCAGGACTTCTCCAATTTTGAGTCTAATTTCTTGATTTAAAGTCGCTTCAACAACTACAGATTCTGGGCAGTCTGACAGACATAAGAATGTTAATGAACGGTAGTGATGCGAGAGGAAGCTTTTGACCTATTTTAATAAACATTACTGGTATTATACCGGATGAAATAAAAAAACGACCGAAACGTCGAGATTCTATTGTCGGCACTCGTACGAAGGTCTCCGTTTCGAATCTCACATGAATTATTGGTTAGCCAGACCAACAGTGGGAATGCGGTTTTCCTTAGGCACTCAATCTCTACCTCTGTTCTTCCCAGCTCCTGAGTCATTAATCTAAAAATTGATTTATTAATTGATTGCTCGAGTGACGGTTTAATTTCGATAAAATTTTTACTGTTTCTGAGACTGTGCAATTCCATGAAAAAATTAAAACTAACCTAAACACAAGAATGTTATTTATTCCTAAATACAATTCTTGTACTATCATGACTGGGTTTTTTTAATTCAATATAACAGCTGAACACGCCACTGAGCTGTTAGATACAAATGAAGGATGAAAAAAAAATTAAACCAACATCTTAATAATCTGTATGAAAGTTGAAGTATTATGTGTCAGCAATTTTTCGGTTTCCTTTTGGAAGGGAGTGGCCGCAGTGGTAAGATTTGCAGCGAAAACAGCCCTCGACAACTAAACTTTCTCGTGTTGCAAGCAACAGGTTTGCATGGCGTTAGGCTATGTGAGATCTTAGATATCACTCGATCACGAAGTGAAAATGGGTTTACGTCTGGCGACAGATTTGTTGAGTAACGCAGAATTTGGTCTGGGGTAGAAGAAAGGCAAGCCGAATTTATTTATCTTTGTATTTATTATGTCTTATTTAATGCTGTTGACAATATCTCATATTTTACAACGTTCGAATAAAAGTATGAATCGTCAATAATCTGTTAACTCATATTCAAAAAATGCTTCAACGTGTTATTTACGTGACTTCTAATGAACCTGTATAAGGAAGTATAAGCAAATTTCGGTTAGGGACAATCCCCAGATCCTTGTGCAATCATTCTCCTACCTCTGCAATTATAATTCGCATTTAATGTTCCATGGCCGTGTTTCATAAATTGGATTCATTCTCTCACAAACAGCAAAAGGTTACAAAGAGAGAGGGCATGATTGTTTGGCTCACGTTTTATCAAATGCTAGTAACTAATACCACTGGTCGACCTTCGCCTTCAAGTGGAGTCGATCTCAAGACACAGAAGTGCGTGGGAAAACTTTCTACAGGAAAAGAAAAATGCACTTTATATGAACTGTAAGTTGTTCAGTTGGGATCGATCTTAAATTTCTTTAACAAAGTTGAGGAAGTGAAGCTTCAATTTGTGGAACACGTTTTCCAAATATTCCATTAATGACCCCCCCTCCCCCACACTGCGTATATTTTGTGCACGAAATCAGTATTTCTCACCTGGCGTACTGTGACATTTTAAATTTAAGGTCTTTCTGCACATTTAACAAAGTTGACGAAGTTATGTTATTCAAATTTGTTTTATCACGTCCTGTCTCTTTGTTAAAGTCGATTCACTTGCCATACACCTAATGTTCCTTTTCTGTAGCTACGAGTTTCAGACATTTTAACCGCGTTACACTTCGTACATATTTATATTTGACATGTAGTGCAATCCTTTTTCTATCAGCCAATTTTAATCTTGATTTCTTTCTCGGTAACTGTATGATTACTTGCCTTCCTAGAAAGGGTTAACATGAAGATTTGTTTTTTTAATTCCAATACAAGTTATTACTGATTTGTTTTTTTTTAATTCCAATACAAGTTATTACATACAATTAATATGCATGAAAATCACAAGAAAATTTAAGAAATATATCAAATAAAATGGATAAGAACATGCGTAAGAGACATAACTGCACAATAATACATGATTTGCAAAGCCGTCAATACTGAAATCTGTTTCAGTTTATCGACACGTATACGTTTTGAGAAATTCTGCATTTCGTTCAAAGAAAGCGAACACTCACTGTACGAACACAAATCCTACCTGAAATCCCATGGCTCTTTCCTTCCACCTGGCTCAGCGATTGGAAACTGAGGGTCCATATTGCAGTCGCCTTCTTATACGGAAGATTACATGACGTCACACGTGGAAGTAATTGAGAAGGAAATTTTGGTCCTGAAAGGGAGTGAGAACTTCCAGACGGGAGGGGCAATGCTCTAGAAACGTAAAAGTGGGGTGGAACCGGTCCATCGCCATTTAAGCCGAGGCACACAACAATGCTCGATCTGTTGATGCAATATCGGCCCAGCCTTCGGTTGTCTTATTTGTGAACGAATAGGATTTATTTGTTGATTGGTTCACATATCATTTAGCTGATCATTAGCCACTGCAGACAAAACTCGACGCTATGAGCGTAGTTTAATAAAAAGCACAAGTAAGTCCACCTTAAACAACCTAAGCACAAATTTCAAACTAATCTGAAACCTAAATTACTCCTGTCTTTGGTATTATTGACAAAATAAATATAATTATGAGTTTTAAATGCTAGGGCTATTCCTATGAGGCCTGTATTATTGAAAAAATTAAATATTTAATATTTTTTTAATTTATAGCTGTTAACAACATGGCTGGAATATCTAGATAAGTCAGAGTACATGTCGTAAGCAGATAAAATTGTATTTCTCAGCGCCTTGTTTACAGAAACAACGTTGATATTAATGAAAACCCAACCAGTCATATTAATTTACCTTATTACTCAAATAATACAAATTTTCAAAATCCCAAAAGTTTTGAACAGTTATTTCGAGAAAATGCTGAGATGCCACCTTCAAATAGGCTATGATCATTTCCTCCCACATCCTGTCCGATTCTGTCAGTCCCCTATTCGATACTATTAACTTAAGCAACAAAAGAGATCGTTAAATAAATTAAGAGAATGAAGCAATTACATACAAAGAATTCTTCATCAAGTATGAAAAGTACGAAGAATTGAAGGAGGGTGAGATGGAAGATGAGTAAATTTTAGTTGGACAACCTGTAGAGAACCACTCGAAAGACCTAGAAGAAGATGAGAGAATAATATTAAAATGTATGTTAAAGAAACATGGCGTGAGGGTGTACACTGGCTTCATCTGGCCTAGGATAGAATCTAGTGGAGAGCCGTTATTAATACGGCACAGAAGTGTCGGATTTCATCAAAGAAAGAATTTCTTTATTAATCCCTGTCCCATGAGGTCAATCGGCTTGGTAGAAACAGAGTGATGAGGTCAAACTTCGGGCAGACGGCAAGCTAGAAAGTTGCTGAAATGTGAATGAGTTCGTGGGAGGGACGAAAAATACTGATTGGAGATTCTCTCAATTGGAGAGGCCAGTTCCCAACACCGTATCAGGCTCTGGTGCTCCGTACGATGATCGAACAATAGGGAAGTTTCAACAGACGATGCGGCTCATCCCTGAAAGCCGACGTTGTACAAATGGGGAAAGGTTCCTCGTCCTTGTACCAACGAGGATGGGCGACGAGGTAATGGGGGCATGGCAGAGATGTACCCAAATGACCGCGAGCCGAAGAACCCCGAGAGAGAAATCTAGTCCTTCAAAAACTGTTAAATAGGTATCCATTATTCGTTCTCATAGAACATAATGTAAATATACGTAAAAAATAAAAATAACATTGAAGATTTCCGTCTTCTGGGTTGTTGCGCTGTGTAGTCTGGTTGATGTTAGCCAACGTTTCAGAGGTCATATTCATCGCCCTGATGACGGAGGCAGTATGACCTCTGAAACGTTGGTTAACATCGACCAGACTACACAGCGCAACAACCCAGAAGACGGAAATCTTCATACTCACCGCTGTGAGAACCTCAAGTCTTACAAAAATAACATTAATTATAATTAAAATCAGATGTATCCTGAAATCTGACCTTAGAACGACTTGAATCCCTGTTTGGTACACCCCTACTGATCATATTTATGCCAAGTCCTGACAATTCTCTCCATCATGTCTGCTCTTCAGTGCTACAAGCCCTCATGTCTGCCAGAGAGAGCGACCCTGGTCATGTGGGCTCCACAACGGGACAGATATAAAACGAAATTTCGGTTCCAGTCGTCTTCAGTCTGCACGGCCGTCTCACAGAAGCACATTACAGGTGAGCGCTGTCTCTATTTGCATCACGAATTAACCCTTTCCGCGCTGATGAAGTCTGGAGGTTTCTGACGAAAACATTACTTATGTAAACTAACATTTTAAAAAATATGTACAACAACATTAACACTATTTCTACGAAAAACAAAAGTCCCTACATTTATCGTAGTAAAAATCCGCTGTGACTGATTATTTATTTTTGGAGTTCGTAAGAAGGGATAAAATCTGACTTGGGTCCTTCTTACCAAGAACCGAAGATATGACTTCTGAAATCAGCATCATTAAATAACCCCATGCATTGTATTCACAGCAATATATTGCCTGTAATTTTATTTAACCGAACTGGTTTACAGTGTTCAGACTGATCGAAATTCTTGGTTTCTTCCACAGATAATGGTGTCCCACGCAGTATTTGTGCTTCCCGTCTGCGCTCTATTGCAAACAGCGAGTCCTACTCATTGCAACCGTGATCTTCAGGTGCAAGAATCACGAAATTTCATATCAGATGCCAGAGTAAAGAGTATTAAAGATATTTTGCTGTTACGCGACAATTATTCGGCTAACGCGCCTCAAAATTCACTAAGCAACGTGTTACATCACGGGTACAGACCCCACCAAGAAGACATAAATCGGCCGTTCATGCATCAACAACCTCGAAGTGAGTCATCAAGGTACAGACCCCGCCAGCAAACACAGAGTTATGAGATATACGAGAAGCCAGATCTACCGGACAGTAACCCGCAACAGAACATATTCCTGCAGCCGAGTTATGCGTGGATTCCAGACTCAACTTCATCCAAAATAAACATGAATCTTCAGGAAATTAGGCCTAGTATATCAGAATCTAATTTATCGTATTATCCTTATATAATCATGAGATCCCAAGAAGATGGGAAAAAACAGAAAATAAAATCGTCGGTGCCAGGTGTAAAACTGGCACACCAAGGCGCTCCGACACATTTACAAGGAAACGCGGGTGTTTCGCCGAGCTCCCACGTGTCTCGCGGCCAGTATCTTCAGGCACTGACATTGCTGCCCGGACAAATTCTGGAGCATCCACAGATACCACATTCAAGTGTTATTTCAGCATAACAGAAGCCTGGAGACTCCTTCTCTCTTACAGTTAAGTTTTTCAATCATTTATAGACTGCAAGGGGTGGAATTCAGATGATTGTAAATTGCACAGAATGTGTAAATGGTTGTGGCCTATTTTAAGGCACTTTTTTTTATTTGTAGTGTTCTGTCTGACGACAGGTCCATATGAACAGGATCCTTCCATCCTTTTCTCGGACTGGGACCTGTTCATATACGTTCTTGGCAGATGATCCAGAAGTGGTTTGCCATTGCCTTCTTCTGTGTGTGAATGGAGTAATTGTTGGGATGCCACGGAGAAACCGGGGAAGAAGCCCCCGGAGGAAAACTCCGTGTTGCCTAGACCACGGCCTTGCCCAACACAAGTTATAAATTCGGGCACCGTCGGGAATCGAAGCCGAGACCCCAGGATTACAAGGCACTAGCGTTTGTTTAAGGGTGAGGATAAACATAACAAATCTGTGATGACACTCTGAAAGTCCAACCGAGTACTTCATGAACACAAAGAAGTTCTGTACACCCAATCGCAAAATTCGAACTTGGTGGGTTTTGAAAAAAATTAAAACAAGTTTATCTGATCTTCTGTTACAGTGTTAATTTGTTAACGGCTTTATTTTATCCCGAAGGTCAAAATCTTTGTGCGTGGCACCGAAATCGTAAAAAGGTTTTACATTTTTGCAGTTCGTGACTTCTTAGTTTAAGATTCTGATTTATATATGATAATTGGACATAATTTTATTAGTTTGAATGTACATTATAAACTACACTGAAGTGAAATATTACCATTCCACGCATCAAGATACGTTATAAAACTGGCAATTAAATACACAAGCCATATTTGAATTAAACTTGGGATAGACGTTTTGTGAGCCTGACTACTACTCAGGGCCCACTTACGACGTCCCCGGAAGGAGAGGACACGCGGCGTTGTCGGCAAGAACCGCTTTGTCGAGGTACAGCAGTCCTGCGGTACGCAGTCGCTCGTTCACTGGGTCCAGAACAGCCGGAGCCAAGTTCCTGTCACGGCTGAAGACTCCTGTCCATTCATATCCCAGAAAGCGCTGGCACGTGGTTAGGGCCAGAGTGTTGTTACTGGGACCAAAATCAGTTACCATCACTGCAGCATCGATGTCTGGGGATGAAAACATTGCTAAATCGGTCAGTTACACAGGGAATTCAGGAAATACTTTATAAATCATGTTTTATTTCGAATTCTTCCAGTGACAAATGATCTGGTGTAGTCCCAAACAATTCCCCCAATGCCACAAAATAATCCAAGACTCCTTCCACATCCTCTTGAATTCTCCGTTCATAGTTGTTCCAGCATTTATAAGTTCACTTGATATAATCTCTAAAAGGTATTCAGCATTGTTAAATAAGGAATAAAGGAAAAGAAAGGAAAAGATAACAAGATAATAAATTAATTTTTTGTTTGTTTGTGTCGTATTAAATTACGCTGTTAAATTATATGGCGTAAAATGACAAGGCAATTAATAAATAATAAATTGAAAATAATCTGGAATAAAGTGGTAGAATCTGGGATCATTTTCTGAGGGTTTTTTCCCCTGGAAGTAATGAAGAATTACAGTCAGGACAGCCGACCTCGAGCCGAGATCTGAACCCGGGATCTCACAAACAAAAATCTAAATTGAAGATTTCTGTCTTCT